TGGCCACTTCCCCGGCAATATTAATTTGTTGTCGACTTCTCACAATTGTATGCTGTAAAAGGCAAAGTCAAAGAAATTTAGGCTAGTGGCTAATTTTGTGTTATCAAATTTTCAACACTGTCCGAAAAATATAGAGCAAAGGCGTATGATAAGTCTTTTTTGAAGCCAAGGTTAGGTCAAACGAATTCTATACAGCGTAATGAGACCGCAACAAAATTCAGGACACACCATCTTGGTTTTCATGCCGCATGGATAAGTTGCATTGCTGGTCTTCCATGTACTTAAATTTTTCAGTTAGGTAGTTGAAATTGCATTTTGACATTATTATGACTTTCATCAACTACCAATATATTAGTTTTGATCTATATTTTAAACGAAATAAGAGATTCGAAGGTATAAAGACCAAGATGATGTGGCCTTTTGTGTGGTCGCAGTCTCCTTTCGTTGTATTAAAGTTTTTTGACCTTGTTTTCGCAACTTGGTCATATTGGTAAGAAGACTTAGAGGAATGCATGTAGTCTGGAGTCCTTGTATGCATAGTAGTTTTCAGAGTCGGACCATGGACATGGTACATCCTCAGACGTTTCGCCGGTATCGTAGTTGACATCGTCAGTGAATCTTGCTATTCTTAACATCAGACTACAAATCGTCAATGAGACAAGTGAAGACGATCTTTTTACGAATTGTCTACTAAACAATCATAGTATCCCTCCTTCCCCCCTGGGCTAATCACCAATCATATATCATCGTATCACGCCTTCACAATCATAATATTTTACTTGTGTATTTAAATGTGGTATGGTGTGCCCTTTTGAGAGATTTGCATGAGAAATCCTCACTTCACGCTGGCTTTTTCACCCCCCTTCATCCTTGTGCTAGGAATGTTGATCAGAGTCTGCCATATTGTTACGCAGTTCTCCTTCCCTAATCTTAACAGAGTCCCTCTCTTGTTCCGTAGGATCCGTTTGCTATCTTCCTGGTTCAAGTCTTTCACTCGACCCCCTGGTACTGCTTGCTTTGATTAGGTTCAATGTTAAAACACAACATTTATGGGTAGCACACAAGAGATTAGGGCATAGAAAATCATAGACTTGGTATTAAGAATAACACGAGGTGGAGACTATAGCTAGTTGGCTGACGTTAGGCTTGTTTTACCATAGACGTGGTCCATGAAGCAAAGGCTTGACCATGGGACTTACTCAGGTGCTTTAACCTCAAGTTAATCCCCCAGAGGCAGAGTTTGGGAAATAACGTCTCGATTAGCACAGATGGGGTGGCAGGGATCGAGTGAGCTACTTGAACTAGGGATCCTACGGGGCTAGAAGGAGACTGATAAGACCTATGGAAGGAGAACCGCGTAAAAATATAGCAGACTCTGATCAACATCCCCAGCACAAGAGTGAGTGGAGGGGAGGGGAGTGAGAAAGCCAACTTAAAGTGTGGAGAGTTTTCATGAGAGCCGCTCAAAAGGTCACACCATACCACATTTAAATAAGCAAGTTAAAGTAGTGATAGTGAAGGCATGATACCCGTATATAGGATTCGTGATTAGCCTAGAGAGGGAATGAGAAATACCACAATTGTTTAGAAGATCAATGGTCCTATGATCTGCTTCACTTGTCTCTGGCGAATTATACTGATACTAAGAATGGCAAGATCCACTGACGATGCCGGCGAAACTTTTGGGAATGTACCACGTCCATGTTCCGACTCTGGAAATTATCATGCATACCAAGGACTCCGGACTAGATGAGTTTGTCCAAGTCTTCCTACCATTATTACCAAGTTGCAAAAACAAGATCAAACAACATATAAAATAAGATTAATTTTATTCGGGGTGTAGGGGGATTGATTCTGATTGTCAGAGAATGTACTTTTATTGAGGCAATGCTATATAGTATATTGAAATGAAATTTGAGCAAGAATTAATGAATTTTCTCATCATTCATTTATCTATAGATTTTAGTTTGCTATGATTTTAATTCGATATAAATAATCAGTCAAATTGTTGACTTGGTACTCGAATTGATTTATTCTCTTGCCACGAGGCAATATATCTTTACCAACAATATTTTATAGTGAGTTGCCTAGAGTTGTGGCTAACAACGGAAAATTTATTAGTATATTTCTAAAATTACTTGTAATACTATCGTCTCCACTTTAGCTTATGAGTTTACTTTAATTTTTGCTCAAGAATAAATCATCTACACTCTCATTGATTTTTATCTGTAAGAAGTTTGATTTTATACCAAACCTTCACAATTAATTATTTTAATATAAGCGTAGGATCCTACAAATTCATCAAAATCCACCAACTATAACAATTATACAGCATACCTTTTCCATAAATTGTCACTGGATAATTATGTAAGGCTAGATAAACTTCCGTTTTCCAGGTATTGCGGCCCATTCTGCTTGCTATTTTTATTACATTTGGGTCTTACCATACACACTATTGCATATATTTTTTATATAATATTTAATTTTCATATTTGTTTTAAAAATGGAAAAAATATCCTGCATTAGACTAAAATCAATCTGGACTTTCGGACATATACAGAACTATCAAAATTCTTTTTCGTATATCACCCTGCCACAATCACATAAGTATATTATTTAACTCATTCTCCTTATTTTTCTCATACTGTTTTTTTTGCCATACAGCCTCGTTCTTTTCCCAACGATGAGGCACTAAAATCCTCACAGATCTGGTTCACCGACCACGCTTGGGGCAAGAACAAATTAGGCGGCTTATTTGCCGAAGCTGCTCGACAGGCTGGCCTCCCAATGGTTTGGCTGCGTAAGCGTCGGGCGCGCAACTTCTTCCCCGGTGGAGGTGGGTCTGGCCTCGGCGTTATCTCTCAATTAGCCGGCGGCCCGACGTCTGGCTCCACACCTGCTGCTGCAATCTCCACAGATGAGCCTGTCCCAGGAACTATACACGCTGCAAGTGGCCCTAGTAACCAACTCAATGTATCCCCAGCAGCCTCTGCTGACCATATTGGGAATCTCATCTTGCTCAACGAGCCCAATACTTTGCTTCTTGAGACGTCGAGTGTTGGTCGACTCGTCTCTGAAGAACTGACAGTTGGTGGGCTATCTCAAGGCACTGGACAGTCTTCGGGCTCTCCTCTTCTTATTGTTTCCCCGATGATACTGACTGGTGGCCAAACTTCGGCTATGGTCAAGATGGACCAACTAAACCGGCAACCCTCCAACCAGCGGCAACACCAGTTATTATCACAGCAGTCCACCTTGATTTCCATCCCGGGCACCCAGCAAAGCGTTAGCCTAGCTTCACGACCCACAAACACAACAACTACGACAACTGCTACCACTAGTACAGCTTGCTTTTCATCTCATAGGGCCCTCGTTATGGGTAACAGTGATGCGGGTTCTGCTCACTTGCTGTCGACAAGCTCTGCCGGACTTGAGGCCAGGGAGACACTTATGCAGGAGGGCGAAACAGGCCTTCTCTCTGCTGTATATCCAGATGGCTTGTCGGCTTCTTTGACTGGGCTACCACATGGCCTTGATATGCATAATCTTCATCACCAATCTCAGCATCAGGGTCTACCGACGGCTGATCCCCTCTTCTCACGATCTAGACCGGCAACACTTCAACAGCTTCACTCTGAAGACATCCGACATGTCATGCAACAAGCCGTATTTCCCGACTCTATCCCAATGTCTAATGAAACTACTGATGCCAAGATAGATAACTAATTTCAACATACTAACCACTTCGATTGTGTTTCTATTGTACACTCCTTGTTTTCTATCAGCGGCTTGAAATTTCGAGTCTTTACAATAGTTATTATCACTTATTTTGGCAAGATAGTAATCCTTATTATCAGAATTAGAAAAGTTAAAGCATTTACGCTATCTGATGCCTTGATATTTACGTGTTAGGAGGCCGAAGGCATTTTGCCCTTCATAGTAAAATGAGCTCTACTCTGTTCCCTTTCTTTTTGTTTCTCTTCTCTTCATACGCATGTACAGAGTCGCATTCATCTTTATTACGCACCTATGCTTGTGTTGGTCACATCTATTAAACATAATTTTCATTGAGAAGGCCATCATCACGCTGCAATACAATAATATTTTAGCACTTATATTATTTGTGCTCCATGAAGAAGGCTAAAGGTGCCGAGTTGGACAAAGATTAACTATGCACATAGAATGATTGTTTTTTTTGAAAACCTAACAAAGTTAAATTGATAACTCATTATTTGTAGGCTATATATGCGCTTAAATTTCTTGTCTTATCATTCACTAGCAATACTGCTATTCCTCTAGAAAGCCTATTCACAA